CATTGCCTCTCTCCTCTCTGATGATGAGCTTCCCCCACTTTCATGTCATCTTCTTTAGATTCTGTATGTTGGAGTGAATGTGGCATTTGTCCTTGTGCATCTGGCGTACTCCACTCAGCATTACGGTCTCCAGCTGGGTGTGGTGGCGCACACCTATGATCCCTACGCTTGGGACACTGAGGCAGGAGGAGCGTTGTGAGTTCAAGACCAGCCTGAGCTACAAACTGAGCGCAGTGCCAGCCTGAGCAGCACAGCAAGACCCTGTCTCAAAAAGACACACACACACACACACACACACACACACACACACACCCCAAAACAACAACAGCAAACAAACATGATCTCCAGCTCCAGTTTCCTGCAAACGACAAAGCGCTGTTCTTTATGCCTGAATAACGCTCCACTGTGTATATACACTATATTCCTTGATCCACTCATCTGAGGACGGGCACGTCACCTGGTTCCACGTCGTAGCTGTTGTGCATCATGCCACAATAAGCACGGCCACACAGGTGTCCCTATGGTTTGCTGACTTTAGTGCCTTGAGGCGTATATGAAGGGGTGAAAGGTAGCCCTGTTTTGAGTCTCTTGAGGAGCGCCCGCGCTGACCTCCACCCTGCGAGGCCAGTTCACACCCCTACCCGCGTGCAGCTCGCGCTCCTCTCACTCCGCGTCTCCCGCGCATTTACCGCCCTCTGCAGTCTTGGAGGTCGTTCTCGCTAGAGCGGGATGGGATCTCCGCGTAGTTTTTATTTGCATTTCCATGATGGCTAAAAATGTTCGCGCTTTTCCAGCCACTTCCTGGCCATTTTTGGAAGTGTTCCTTTCACTTGCCCATTTATTGACTGGGCTATTTGATTTTTGGGGGTTGTTTTTTGAATTCTTTATACATTTTAGGTACTAATCTTCTGTCAGAAGAGTAACTTGCAAGGATCGCCTCCCATTTCCCATTCTGCAGTCTGTCTCTTTACTCTGTTAGTGGTAGCCCTTGATGTCCCATTTGGGGACAGAAAATTTTTAGTTGGAAGTAGTCCCATTTGTAGATTAGCACTGTGCTCCTGGACTCTTGTCAGGAGGCCTCGCCTGTGCCTGTGACTTGAAGTATGTGCCTAGTGACTTCCTCCCGCAGTTGTGAGATCTCAGGGTTCCTACCTAGGTCTTTGATCCATTTTGAATTATTTTTGGACAGAGAGATAGACGTGTTGTTTTGATTTTTTTTTTTTTTTTTTTTTTTTTACATAAGGATATCCAGTTTTCCTGGCATCATTTGTGAAAGAAGCTGTCTTTTCTCCTGTGTGTATTTTGGCTTCTTTGTCCAAATTTTATAATTTGAAATTGGGTGTTGTGGTGCTTCTGGCCTGGCTCTTGTCGCTAAGGATTGCTTTGACTGCTCTGAGTCTTTTGTGCTTCAGTGTGAATTTTGGGGTTGACTTTTCTAGTTCTGTGAAGAATGTCATTGGTATTGTGATGGGATTGGACTGAATCTGTAGGTGGCTTTGATAATATGGCCACTTCAATAACATCAATTCTGCTAATCCATGGGCATGTCCACGGATTAGCTCTGCTGTCTGTCTGTTGTGTCTCCTTCAATTTATTTCTTCAGTGTTCTGAAATTTTCATTGTAGATGTCTTTTACCTCCTGGGTTAGGTTGATCCCTAGATATTTTGGTTTATTCTATTCTTGTGATGCTATTGTGAAATAGTTTGCTCTTCTGATTTCTTTCTCAGTCAGTCCATTATCAGTTTACAAAGAAAAGCTACTGATATTTTAAATGTTGACTTTTTACATCCTGCTACTTTGCTGGATTGTTTTCACTTCTAAAAGTCTTTGAGTGGAGTATGTAGGATCTTCTAGTACAGGATTTTATCATCTGTAAGCAAGGATAATTTGATTTCTTTTCCTATTTGTATCTCTTATTTCTTTCTTTTGCTTAATTGAACTAACTAAAATTCCAAGTATTACATTGACTAGGAGTGGTGAAAGGGGAAATCCTTTCTTCAATCCTGATTTTAGAGGAAATGCTTTTGGTTTTCCCCCATTGAGAATGACGTTGGCACTGGGATTGTTGTGTACAGCCTTTAGTATACGGAGAATGATCTTTCAATACTTTGCTTCCTCAGGGACTTTTGTCATGAAGGGATGTTGAATTTACTAATTCAATCTTACACCAGAAAGAATAGTGATCACCAAGAAATCAAATAATAAATTCTGTCAAGGCTGCAGTGGAAAAAGAACACTTCTACATTGTTGATGGGATTGAAAATAGTATATTCATTATGGAAATCAATACGGAGATTCCTCAAAAAACTAAAACTAGAAGTTCCATCTGAACTAGCTGCCCCCTTGCAGGTGTCTTCCCCAAAGAGCTGGAGACATCGCATTACAGTGATCCATGCACACCCGTGTGCAGAGCGGCACACTTCATCAAAGCTACGGCCTACGTGGCCTTCAGCAGACAAATGATAATGTGGTGTCTAGATGGAGCGGAGCACCACTGAGCTACAAAGAAGGATGAATTGTCCAAGTCTCTCTCTGTCACTTGATATTATCATGTGATCTTTATCTGGATAGATGGATAGAATATATTTAGATTCTGTTTATTGGGTTGTGTATGGTGTTTTTTTTTTTTTTTTTTTGTGGAACCGGGGATTGAACTCAGGCCCTTGTACTTGCCAGGCAAGGGCTTATTCCACTGAGCCATCTCCCTGGCCCTGGGTTGTGTATGTTGAGCCATCCTTATATCTGTGGAATGAAGCTCCCTCATTTGTGACATATGATCTGTTTTACTGTGTTGTTGAAGGGACTTCGAGTACTTTATTGTTTTTACATCTGTATTCATCAAGGATGTTGGCCTTTCTGTTATTGTGTCCTTGTCCATTTTTGGTATCAGGGTGACACTGGCCTTGTAGAATGAGTTTGGAAGCTTTCTTTCCCTTACTATCTATCATGGAATAGTTTGAGGAGCATTGGTTGTAATTCTTCTTAAAGGTCTGATAATTTAGCAGTGAGCCCATCTGGTCCTGAGCTTTTCTTTGTTTAGAGGCTTTTTATTTCTGCTTTAGTCTTATTGCTTGTTATTGATTTATTTAGGTTTATATCTTCTTGGCTCAGTTTTGTTGTAGATTTCTAGAAATATACCCACTTGTAGATTCTCTAATTTATTATAACAGAAGTTTTCAGAGTAATCCCTATAATACTTTGGATTTCAGTGGTATTTATTGTACCACTCCCTTTTTCTTCTCTAACTGTACTAATGTGGGTCTGTCTCTGTCTCTCTCTGTCTCTCTGTCTCTGTCTCTGTCTGTCTGTCTGTCTCTCTCTCTCTCT